CACGTTTCCTATATTGTAATTAAACAAACTATTTATACATTTTATGGTAGGCTAACATTTATTTTACATTGTCCATGTAACAAATTTTAAATGTAGTTACTATAGTTATAGCCTAATTATGTATAGTTACATCATGCAACTAACCCTAAACCAAATCTTAACCCAAACCATAACCCTAACTATATATAGTTAGTAGGCTACATGTTAATTAGCTACTACGTAGTGCTTATTTGGCTACTTAAGGACACCTTAAAATACAGTGTAACACATTTTATTTATATTTCTGATGTTGAGTTCACATCAATGCGTCACTTCAATACAGTGTCATAACATTTGCACATATAAAGTCGCCGTAAAAATAATTATATAGGCTAATTCTAGTCCTTAATTTAGACTTTTAGCGAGGTCTAAATCATCGCCGCTAACTTCAGCATACCTGATGTTTTCCTGAAAGAGACTCACCACGGCTCAGGTAAACTCGTCTGGCCTGCAGTTCCTCTCTCGGCCTACAGGGGGCGCTAGAGCACCGCAGAATCCAGGAGCCGGCGAGAGGCTCACGGAGGCCCCGAGATGCGACTCCAGCTCGGGTAAACTAACACAACACATGCTCTGAGTGTTTGAGAGGCGGGTGGGAGGGTGTTTAAAATCAGCTGTAAATAAGATCTGATATTCTGCGAGTATAGCCAGTCTTATATGTGGAGTTCGCTTTGTGAGCGACAATTTATGAGTAGGCCTATTTTTTTTGCACGTGTGTATATAGTCCTATCGTGCGAGCATCTGATGAGGAGGCCAGAGAAGCATCTGAATTTTAATGATGTTGAAGATGATATTGTGTGTCCTTCAGCCTGTTATACTGACACAAGCTCTCCATAAATCATCATATAAGCCCATCGTAAAATCAATATCAAACTGCAACCTCAGCGCCGACGCACTCTCCGCCTCTCTCTCTCTCTCTCTCTCTCTCTCTCTCTCTCTCTCTCTCTCTCTCTCTCTCTCTCTCTCTCTCTCTCACACACACACACACAGCTGAAACTTTCGCCGTAATGCCGCTCGACCCATGGGTTAAGATCAGAGCGTGTTTAATTTGTTTTGTAATAGAGACTTTCTAATCCGTAATGAAATGTCTATTAGCCGGGCTTTGCTGGGAACATTGGTGATCAGCTCGCGAAACAGACACGGCAATTACGTGTGTGTGTTTGTCCTGGAGTGAGTGAAGCCAGTTTATCCGCTCGATAATGTTAATCCAGTGAGGAGAGACGGCGCGTTTCAGACTCACAGCGTCGGACTCACGCAGGCTTTCTATCCCAGACGCGCTTTTGATCTCGCAGTCCTGGGCTGGCCTCGACTGAACCAGGCCCGGTGTTCTGTCGATCTGTCCTACCTTGTCAGTTTTTCCTACCGTAGCGCAAAATTATAGCCATATCTATCGGTTCATCCTACCACATCGTAAAATCCTACTGCGCGTTTCTGCTTCGCGTCTGTGACTACATAAAATATTTCAGTGTAACTTTGCCGAATATTCTTATTAGGCCATGGTACGGTGATTTTACAGTGCAAAGTAACGTTACCTCATCAGATTGTCCTATGAAATAAACGGGTAGGATGATTTTACTGTGCAAACCCAGCAAACATTGGTCCGACGGCAACGTCGTGTCCCTGGCCAAAAATAGTTGCGGCCAGGACGTCATAAATCGGTAAAAAATGTAACACAGAACATTTCCTAAAAATGCATTCAGATACATTTGTACATGTCTACAGTTGCATGTATAATTGTTATTTTAACTTTTAGCTCGTGTAGTTATGTTTAGTGTATCGGGTGAGAGGACGTCACCTGGCGACGTCTTTTACACGTGCATTTATAGTCCATCATGACCCTCTATGAAATCCTTGTTAAATATGCAAAAGCTGCGCTTAATCCTCGCATGGTTAATACTGCAATAATTAATGTAGTTGCCCATGAAGTTTTTAAGAGGTTGTGAAGAAGACGTCCACTGGCGTCCTTTACACGTCTAGTCAGGCTGTGAATACTATACGTCCACTGGCGTCTTTTGCACGTCTAGTCTAGCAAGACAGAAAAAAATTATCAGGATTTATAATTCTTTGTAAAATACACGATTTATATACAAATGAATATATATTTACTTTATCTTGTTTTTATAAATTATAATCACAAAATGCACAGTATAGTCAAGTGATTGCAAAGCCACTGCCTTTTAATCATTATTTTAACCTGTTGTACCTGATGTATTCGTTGTTATTTTTTTATGGAATGTATGTACAAGTAAAACAGAAATATACCCGGTCACCATTTATGTCTGAGTTGGATGTAATTACCCAAACCCTCTGCCCAAACCATAAACTGTGCTGCCAAGATGTAGTAACAAAAGATCTCGCGATATTACAAAATCATGCGATGGGATTATCTCGCGAGATGTTAACGCGTTCTCCCCATAGATTCTGGAACTTTGAACAAGCACGAGGAGAGGAGGGAGTTGTGTCGATATTATTAAAAATCTACTGTTGGGTAAGTACATTTTGTATTAGATTAATGTGCTTGAGTTTTACTTGTGTGACATGAATGAACCGAAAGAAATTATGCCCACATTGTCAACTGAAATTTACTGAGTTTGGCTAAAATTAGCCAGTAGGCTAAAAGTAACTTTGAACGTATACAACAACGATAACGTTATACCAAGTATATTGTTTAATGATACAGTCATTACTGTAACTTATTAATGTAGCCTTTTGAGAGTTTCTTTCAGAAAGTAAATTATCTGAAATGGAATGAAATGTTTAGCTGGATTTTAACATGTATGTTTTCAGTAACTGCTTTAAAAATAAAAGCAGAACATATTTTATACAATAAAATAAAATGTAATGCATGTTGATTACCTTTTTCTAATGTGTCATTCATGATTCATTCATGTTGTTCCATGTTTTTTTTTTAATTTAGCTGTAGACCATAAAAATATTTTTAAAATAAGTGCATATCATTTACCTCAAATTTTAATTTAATAATAATTTTATTTATTTAAATATATATATATATATATATATATTCTCTTCCCTTAGATGCTGTGAAGAGGTGGAGCCCAAATGCTACAGACTCTGAAATTGATGCAGCAATGGCAGAACACCTGAAACACGAACAGCTGGTGGATACAAAAACTGAGCCAAACAATGTGTTTAAAGGGATAGTTTCCCCAAAAATGAAAATTGTCATCATTTACTCAACCTCATGTTTCAAACCTGTATACCTTTCTTCATTGAATTTTCATTTTTGGGTGAACTATCCCTTTATATAATAATTCAGTATTTTGTAATTGGTATTTTAGTTTGGTTAACAAATGTTAAACATTGAAAAAATATTAAGATACATTTTGGCTTTTCAAGATCAATAAAATGTGCTAAATCAGAACATGCTTCTTTTTTTCTTATGTCCACAAATGTGTTCTTGTTTGTGATGTACATGTGATTAAAACGTTTTATTGACGGTCAGGTCTGACTAGACCAATTTTGGACCTTTTTAGAACCTTTGTCAAGATGTGTAAACTTCAAGACTTGATTGCCTTTCACGATGTTACACAATATGTGTGTGATTATTTTAAATGCAGGCTTATATACACTTAATTATGCAGCAACACATTTAAACACACAAATGACGACGCATTTAGACGTCCAGGGACGCGCTGAAGAGACGTGGAATTCACGGCCAGATGACGTCAAAGACGTCGGTTCAACTTTCATTTTGGAACTATTTTTCAACCATGACGGGACGTGTCGGACGGACGTCTTTTCAACGGTCATTACACGTCCAAATGTTTGCTGGGAAATACCTCATCAGATTGTCCTACCAGTATGAAATAAACGGGTAGGATGATTTTACTGTGCAAAATACCTCATCAGATTGTCCTACCAGTATGAAATAAACGGGAAGGATGATTTTACAGTGCAAAATACCTCATCAGATTGTCTTACCAGTATGAAATAAACGGGTAGGATGATTTTACAGTGCAAAATACCTCATCAGATTGTCTTACCAGTATGAAATAAACGGGTAGGATGATTTTACTGTGCAAAATACCTCATCAGATTGTCCTACCAGTATGAAATAAACTGGTAGGATGATTTTACAGTGCAAAATACCTCATCAGATTGTCTTACCAGTATGAAATAAACGGGAAGGATGATTTTACAGTGCAAAATACCTCATTAGATTGTCCTACCAGTATGAAATAAACGGGTAGGATGATTTTACTGTGCAAAATACCTCATCAGATTGTCCTACCAGTATGAAATAAACTGGTAGGATGATTTTACAGTGCAAAATACCTCATCAGATTGTCTTACCAGTATGAAATAAACGGGAAGGATGATTTTACAGTGCAAAATACCTCATCAGATTGTCTTACCAGTATGAAATAAACGGCTAGGATGATTTTACAGTGCAAAATACCTCATCAGATTGTCCTACCAGTATGAAATAAACGGGTAGGATGATTTTACAGTGCAAAATACCTCATCAGATTGTCTTACCAGTATGAAATAAACGGGTAGGATGATTTTACAGTGCAAAATACCTCATCAGATTGTCCTACCAGTATGAAATAAACGGGAAGGATGATTTTACAGTGCAAAATACCTCATCAGATTGTCTTACCAGTATGAAATAAACGGGAAGGATGATTTTACAGTGCAAAATACCTCATCAGATTGTCTTACCAGTATGAAATAAACGGGTAGGATGATTTTACAGTGCAAAATACCTCATCAGATTGTCTTACCAGTATGAAATAAACGGCTAGGATGATTTTACAGTGCAAAATACCTCATCAGATTGTCCTGGAAAAATAAACAGATAGGATGATTGATTTGACAGTCTAAGTTTTTAATCTGTATAGTCCCTGGACAGATGTTACAAATTTACTCTAAACCAGATGATAATGTAAATTGAAATAAGATTAGTTATTGAGATAATTTATAATCAAGCAGATCGAATATATACAGAAAGGAGATTATTAATCAAATTCATTTCAAAATTCAAAATCATGCAACACAGAGGCACAATACAAAACAAGTAAAACAATAAGTTATTAATATAAATATGAACTAAGACCACACTGTGCTGCAGACTGTTATCAATGCAAATGATAAAGGGACATACACTCAAACTATACTACACACTTTTTGCACATAAACACATTTAGGCTACTGAAGTTGCAACATTTAAAATGTGCCCATCTATTGCAGCTCTCACACTGTACCTGAAAAAAAAAGAGATATATGTAAATTAGTACATTTAAAACAATATAGAATCTGAAAACATGAAAAGAAAAATTACCTTTTCATTTAAATAACAAAATTCTACAAAAAAACATGGCACATAAAGTTAAACTATTGCTTTTTGGGTGTGTGCATTATAAGTTGTACCATTTCAATCATGCTTTCGTTGGGGTCGTCTTCCAGCATGCTGCAAAGCACACAGTACTCCTCTGCATTACCTATACATTTGTTAACATTAAAAAAAGATAAATATGAATTCATTGGACAATCATATCATAGTGTACTAAATGTCAACATAAACGCCATGAAAAAAAATTCTCAGACCTGTTCTGAAATTACATTAAATCAAATCATTCTTGCATTACTTTTTGCATCCTTCAAGTTATTTTCTACTCTGAAAATTTTATTTAATCAAGTAAGAATATCCAAATATACAGAGGGGATAGAGAAGAAAATTATAGAGTGAAGATAGCATCTACAGAGGTGTACTACATGACACACTGTACATTACAATACATACACTACTACGGTATTACAGAATTAAAACAGCACTCACCTCGACATCCAAGAAGTGTGCAGGCTACTTTCATGCGTGCTGAGCTGACCGCTTCAGGCGTAGTCTGAACATTGCTGATCGTTCCTGTCAGCAGGTATTGTTCAGCAAACTGAAACATTAATTGACAGATGACTTAATTAAATTCATTATAACATATCCAGACCTGAAGCCACTCTTGAAAATATATGAACACATACATTCAATACCAATACTCCACAACTGCTGGAATCCATCTGCAGGTCGTGCTTCAGGGTCCGTAATTGCCACTGGGCTGTTTGCTCATCACATCTCAGTTTTAAAAAATTCCTAGATGTCGTCGAGACATTTGTACTGTTTAGAATCGAATAGCATTAAAAAAAAAAAAAAGATGAAACAGTTCTAAAAAGGTTACCTCCAGTTCCGCAGAATTTTATGTTCATAAGAACGTTCATTTCCCATTGGGTCAATCACAAGGAGTGTTTTTTCAGGCATGTTGATAATCTGGAATATAATGTCATGTAATCATAAATAAGGTTTTAAAATATTTTTAGATCACTACTAACAACTACAGGAAGCTGCTCAAATGAACCTTTAAATTATTGACCTAAAGCATTAAAGAATGTCTGCAGATTATGGAGAAAGTGTCAACACAGTGATTTAGTTATTTGCAGGTGAATATAACACATAAGAATATAAGTGAATGGTAGCAATATTCTGAGGGAAAATTCCAAACGGAAGTGAGCATCCCTATGCCCTACTCCCTTCGAAGGGCAGAGCCCTTGAAGTGGGGACTTTGGAGTGAGCAGGGCACTTGCGTGACATTATGTAGCCGTTTGGAACGCACTTGGTGAAGAGAGCGATGAAAGACAATGTAATTTCCTCATTATCTTCACATGGGAATGTTCCCACTCCAAAAAAAATAAAATATATATATATATACCGTATATATAAGAGCCTTTGTTATCTTTATCTCCTGTCTATATATATATATATATAGACAGGAGATAAAGATAACAAAGGCTCTTTGCCTTCGTCATATATAGCCTATTTGTGTGTACTTCTCTGCTCACAACTTTAAAACCTGCAGTGTGTCATCTTTGACCCTGCATTACCTAACACATTTCTTACCTATGAAACTTATTTAAACATAACATGACAAACATTTGTGAAATATCACGAACATGAACAAAACAAAACAACTTGAATTGCTCTGTTGGTTAGTTAACTCGAACTCTCCCACCAGTATTCTGTTTGACAATAGCCCAAGATCACTAAAGAAGAAGAAGAAGAAAAAAAAACATTTTCTATAATCTCACTTGCAATGTACTTTGAAAAATACACACGCACCACAAGAATCCAATGTGCTCCAACGTTCACAGGGCACAGCCAAATGTCCTCAATGGGAAACTTCATCTATGAAAAGTATTTAATAACAAGTTTGTGATGGTTCCAAAACACGTAAATATTATGTACTTTATTACTTTCTGGAAAGCTAAATTACCTTTCCTAGGCATCTGAACTGTCCAGCAAACAACGAACGTGCAACAACTGCACAAAGCTGGTGTATGTGGTTCTGAAAAAAAAAAAAAATTGTAAGTATATACAATTAAATTAGTGTTCCTAAATAAGTAGACATTCTATACATACCTGTTGTTTTTCAACGACCAGGTGCAGGTATGCATCAATAACCTAAATTAAGAAAAATAAACATGAATATAAACATACTAAACTTTATTTTTGTTAGAAAATAATAAGTAATTTGGGTTTATAAGTCATTTAGACAACCGCCCGATTGGAAAGAAAGGCCACCCATAGCATAAGAATAAATAACTTACTTCATCAGCAAGCCACTCGGCCCCTTGCAGTGAGTGAAAAGAAGAGTCATAGAGCTTATATGGCCCAACAACTGCTTCAACCTGACCAGTGACATTTGCAGCCCAGACCTTCATTACTGAAAAAGAAAGACAAAGTTAGTGTTGTCAATAATTTTTCTAATTAATCAACTTTACAGGGCCAACGAGCCAACATAAAATGAACTTGGCAAATTGAACGTGCCAAACATTCAAGGCCGTAGGTTTGGTCTTTAAGTTGGAAGAGACAACAATCCACCCCCTACCCCACATCGGTAGTATATAATATGTAAAATAATGTGATTGAGTTCGCTGAAGTATTAGGAAGGACAATTCTGCCCTCCTAAAATGTATGCAAACCTACGCCCTTGCAAACAGTCATCATGTCAAAAGGGTACAGGACAGCTAGAGGAAGTGGATATAACTCAAAACAATTTATGGTATCTCTATTAAATAAGAAAATTTTAATATTTTGGTGGCCGCAGTTGTGAAGGTTTTTCAGTGAGCTTTGATTTCAAAATACTGTTTGACTTCGTTCATGCATTTTGAATTTTTTAGGCATATTTTTTTTATGGGGGGGGGGGGGGGGGGTCTGTTTTTTTATGATTTATTGGTTATTATGTCCACTTCCTATAAATAACGGTGACCTGTGACCAACAGGTCAAAATGGCCACCATGATTTAAACACTGCAAGCAAGCAACCATAACAAGAAGACCAAACTGGTCAGTTAGGCCAAACTGGCAACTAAGGATGAACTGAGATCTCTGTAAATATAAAACCTTGTTCCTCTGAGATTTGGTTTACATCTGATGGGAACTTTATTGCTGGCTCTTCATCTGTTGGGGTTAATTTTAGCTCCTTGATGTACCCATTTGTTTGGTCAAGCATTTTAGGAGCAACTTGAATAACAGAAGGTCTTTGTAACGCTGAATCTTGGAGCTTCTCAGAATCATTTACCTTGGTCACAGAATGCGGAGTGCTGAGTGGTGCAACAGTGCAAGGAGGCATCTTGCAAGAACTGTTACTCTCTGTAGACCCACTGATTGAGATAACAGAACAGTCATCAGGCACTTTTCCAGTTTGGCTTCTTCTGTATGGTTTAATGTGACCAATGCTATATTTAGTTTTTAAAGTAATCCCTCCAGGTTTGTTTAATGTGACAAGTTTGCCACTGAGTCTCTCAATGATGTAGGGTCCTGAGAAGTCAGGTTCAATCCTTCCTCCTTTTCTTCCACGCTTCCTCATATTCATCAGAAGAACCTCATCACCAACATTGTAAATCAAGTCTTTGTACTTCTTCTGGACCTTTTTAGCATATGCTTCCTTCTGTTTCTCCTGTGATTTACCAATGTTTTCTTCTGCCTGTTTTTTGGCCTCATCTCTCTTTTTTTTATCGGAAACTACATAATCACTAAAACTTGATTCCACAGGGAGACTGATGGTGGAAAGCTAAAAAACAAGGCAATATAATTTAAGCAATATAAATTCATTTGTGAACTATTTAAATTTTCACATGTGCATGTATATTATGAAAAGCCCATGGTAGCATGAGAAGAGGCCCTTTGCTAAAAACATGGTTGTTTACTATTCATAACAAACTGTTAGGAATATTAGTGACCCTTATTGTCTGTTGTGGAACAAAGTCCAAAAAATATGATCATTACCAGTTTAAGATCAAAGGTTTTATAACAGATGTTAAAATTGAATACAGTTAATCAAGTCAGGGTACCAATAATAAAAACTATATTTACTGTATGATTAGTTTTGTAAAAAGAAAAAAAGTTTTGCATCTTCTACTACAGTACCCATTGGAAATTATTTCAAGGCTAAATTTACTTTAAGCACAATTCTTCTGACATAGGCTAGTATGACAAAATTGCTGAAATGACTCCATAAGCACACTCACTGGCATTTCAACAGGAATCTCTGCAGGGAACACTGCCTCTCTCCCATACATTAAAAGAAAAGGGGAGTGTTTTGTGGTGGTGTGGACCTTCGATCTTAAAGAAAACAAGGTGGCATCCAGATAGACATCCCAGTCATTCTGCTGGTCGTTAACCAATTTCTTGAGGGCTCTAAAGTGACACATAAGGGGGAAAGTTTTTTGCTTTTTAGAAGGCTTATAAACTTGGAGTATGAAAGCCTTTTTAGGAATACATTTATAACTTATTTGGTGCCTTGAAGCGGAAGATGGGTCAAAATGTCATGGGGGGCGGGGGTGCCTTAACTTTTCCTGACCTAGGTACATACAATAATAAAACTTACCGTTTAATGTTGTCGTTGGTCTTTTCATCCAGGCCATTAGTTTGAGGATGATAAGCTGCTGTCACACTTCTTTTGATGCACAACATTTCACAAAGCCTGTGGTTAAGCTTAAAAAATAAAGGGGAAAAAAATCACTGTGAATAAATGGGTGAAAAGCTCCTTAAAACATACAGTAGTTGAATATATGTACTGTATGTGCAAAAATATAACAACTCTTGAAAATCTAAAAACAAAGACAATGGGTTTCATTCATGAAACATTCATAAATATACGAGTAAATATGAGAGTGATTTGCACGTAAAGAGACCTTCCCGAAAACTCATCTCCTGATTCACAAATACTTCGTAAACGTCAGATGTGATAGTGAAATGTGTGTGTGTGTTAATGAATTCCAATCAGTCGTAAATGGGACGCGTGTGCACGCTCATTCTCAATTACCATAAATCCCGCCCATTAAATCCGACTGACAACTACATATGGGCATCATATTATGACACCAAACGAAGGATTTCAACATGTCTTCTCAAAAGCGAATGAAAAAGAAAAATTTCTCAGATGCAGAAATCGAAGTTTTATTATCAGAAGTTAATTCAAAACACCACATTTTATTTTCAAGCGTAGGCTACATAGTGGCGTATCGGGTCCTAAAGAAAAGCAAGCTTGGCAGCATATTACAGATGCAGTTAATGGAGTTTCATCTGTTAATCAAACAGTCTCAGAAGTAAAAAGAAAAACCGTACAGTAATTACTATATATAATATTTTTTCAAAATGCTGTGTAAATATGTACCCGATTAAGGGGAATTAAAATGCAGCCTTAGTTATTAATGAGCAAAATGTTCGGATGTTAAACGCACTATTTACGCGTGGCTGGGAGCAGGTGTAGATTTCTTTCTTACCAACTAACATTTGGAAAATACGAACATTTTAATGAATCCGAAAAGTTACGCCAGAACCGCTTTACACACGATTTACACAAAAATTCGTTCTGCTCGTGTTTCATGAATGAGACCCATTGAGGCTAAACCTAAATCACTTTAATACTGATCATTTTAAATACACTTACATCATTTACAAATTCCCTTCCCTGATCTGAGAGAATTCTCTGGGGACAACCATGCCTATAAATGATGGAACAGAGATGTCTTCCAACTTCAGCTGCTGTCTTGGTTTTTAAAGGAAAAGCCTCAACCCACTTAGAGAAGTAGTCTGTGGCTGTGAGGATGTATTTAAAGCCATCTGCAGTTTCAGGTAATGGTCCAGTTAAATCAATGCCAACAAGCTCCCAAACAGCAGAAACCTATCAAGTCCACCAAATGTAAAGTAAGTTTAGTGTGTATAAAGTAGGTTTAGTATATGTATACTGTATGTTACTGCACTTATTTACCTTGATGCACTGTAAGGTCTGCACAGCAGTCAAAGGCTTTCCAACTTTTTGACATTGATCACATTCCAATACCTTTCAGAAATTGTTGTATATATATATATATATACATACATATTTGTGAGTTGATATATATATCTATAAATATAAACTAAAATAACTATATAGAATAAATAACACATACCCAATTTTCAATGTCAACTGACATGCCATGCCAGTAAAATCTGGCACAGATGGCAGCACGTGTTTTACCAATCCCCGTGTGTCCACCAATGGGCGAGGAATGGAATTCTTCAAAGAGCATCCTGGCTTCCTCTTTGGTTTTTATCACTCTTTTGCTTCCATAAAAAAGCTCTCCATCTACATTAAAGAGAAAACATGACTATGACAGAAGCAAAAGGACATTTGGCATTGTTGGAAAAGAAAATCAAGATAGGAACAAATGAATAATAAAATAAACATAATTGAAATGTAAAGTTAAAATAAATACCCTTTAGGTTGAATTTAAGTGCATATCTTCTAATGTTCTGCCTTTTGGACTTATCATACCCTGATGGGTACGATCCCACTGACAGAAGATTATACAGTGCTTCCCACTTATCTTCCATAGCTGTCAAAAAATGCAAGAAAAAAAAAAACTAGATTAATCAATTTTTTTATGTGATTAATTGTAATTACAAACATTATATATACATTTATTATATTTTATAATGTAATAATTTCACAGTTGATCTCCAAATTGATGCAAAAACAATATAGAGTATATATTTTAAATATTTGTTTAATGGCGTATTTTTATGAATGAAAACAGCTGTCACTTTAAGACCTGCCGCTGCTGAGAGAGATGCGATCTCACACGCCTCACACTCTTTACGATCATTTGATACTTTATTTAATTAATTTAAGACTGATCTTATGAGGACACTCGACAAAACGGACATTTTGACATAATTGTGTGTGTTTATATTTTACACCAAACAATCAAATCATATGCCCCGCCCATATCTAGCCTAATGTTTTCATGAAAAATGCTAATATGATCAATGGTGCTAGCTGGCTTTGTATGAATGTGCCCGTAAACAGTTCTCATTACTGCTATATATCTTTGTATAATAAAAATTAACATAAATAGAGAAAAACTTACCTCAGATGAAGAAGTTCTCACGCAAGTAGTAAAATATTATGGGCGTGTTGTTCAGCGTGACAAAAATGACGCAAAATTGATGTGCGCATGCGCAGTAAGCCTTGGTAGGACAATCTGACGGGTAGGATGGAATGTCAGGACACCGGCCGCAGGATGGAGGGACTGCATGTGGAATTGTTAAGGGGGCTTAAATTTATACCATCAATGAACAACACACACTGAGAACTCGCTTTGAAATTACAGATGTTTAAATGCAGCGCTCCCTAAACACAATATGCAACTGCACAGGTAACCGCGTAATAAAAAGATACACCAGCGTCATTTATTATGCATATTTGAACCCTTTCACGCTTAAATTTAAAATATTCTGACTCCCCAGAGTGAGTTTTTTTCAAGGCGACCGTTATTTTAGAAGGTCCCCCCCTTAAGGTTTCCATGGCGACGCGTCATATTTGTCACGTGACACACCGCAGCCACAATAACACTGTAGTATGACAGACAGATGTATCGCTTTTATTTCCTTTTCCCTTTTTTATTCAAAATATTCACAAACTTGCTTACCATGTCATCAAATATCTGATATTCCGATTCTCAAAAATGTGTAAGTGAGTGTGTTTGGTCGTTTAAAAACCTTTAAAAATAGTCTTGATCTTGAGATAACGTGAGATGGGCGCCGCCATGTTTCTTTGCGCCGCAGTTCTGTCTGTCAGTCATCACTTTCTCCCGAAATACATGTAAGACAGTGGCCGGTGAACTGTGAGAAGAATAGAGTAAACTTTATAGTTACTTCCACTATGTTTTTCTGATATGAATAACACACGTCGTCAAATTACTATTTGAGTAGATTGTTATTGCTGCTTCCACAGACATCAGTGTGTATTTTACAAACTCCAAATGTGTTGTTTTAGTAGTGCTTATGTGTATTTAAATGTCTGAAACCTAAAATAACATTATGAGGTTGCAAACACTGCATAGCTGTGATATATGACAGCGCTGAGCTCGTCCGTGTCTGGCTCAGCGCCAACCGCGCGAAAGCACAGTTTGAATCTGGCAGTGACGTGACGCCACTGAACGCTCTAAATCCCATATGTGGGACCGTCACCGAACTCTCAGGGGCACAGAAACAAGAATCCCATCTATGGGACGGTACCACTCAAAAGGTTAACATTTAATTTGTAACCATGAACACGAAAATGAAACTGAGGGGGCACAAATCAGATCCGAAGGGGCGCCGGGCCTGAACTGAACACACACACACACACACACACACACACACACACATAGTCCCAATAGCTCCATTATAATAGTACAAAGTTATGAAGGAGACCTGTTGCGAATGTGTTTACACTTCAGCCTGTAGCAAAATACCTCAGTAATGATTCTCCAATACCATGTTTTCCTTATGATACGAATATCTGGCATAAAAAAAACCCCATTTCACTGCACATGCAAAGTGTACGAGTTTATGATTTAACATCAGTTCATCCTTTTTTACCTTAGGACAAAAACAACTGGAAAAAAAATCAAGCAAACAAAATGTTATGGAAGAAACAGTGGGGCTGTTTTTACTGTGATCCCTCCAACCAGCAATTCTGACATACAAAATACAGCATGTAAAAGACCCTGACGGGATCCAAACCACACACACACACACACACACACTTTCAGGAGCCCATTTCTTTGCACAACCTGTGAGCCGTAAACAGCTTATGAAAGTCAAATAGAAATGTGGCATAATCTGACAAGTGGAGTCTGTGCTTCAAAAACACCACTAACAATCCACACACACACACACTGATTTACCTTTTCAGGCGCTTCAATATAAAAAATATGAAATAAAAATACGCACACAGCACTGGACCCTCATTATGGTTTAATTAACGAGTGTTTAGTATCTGGCAGAAAGAGAGGAAAGGAGAGATCTGCTCTTTATTTGCTTCATCTGTATCATTGACACAGTTTATCTCCTGCTGAGACACTGAAGACCTGACAGTCTCACACACACTTGCCCTGATCACAGGACAGAGCCTCCTCTCAGCACCAACACACGGGACACTTCTGATTGGCCACTTCTCGACTTCATTTATTAATGTATCATTTGTTCATTTATTCAGAAAAAAAAAATTCGTACAGAAATTACTAGATTTTTTCCCCAGATTATTTAATATTTTTCAGTCAATACTTTCTTGAAAAAAAAAAAATAGTGCTGGGCAATATTTTTTTTTTTACTTAAATATAAAATATTAATATTTATATATAATATAAATTATGTATACATATACAGTATATGCATGCAAATATCATGTATTATATATATATACATACATTTGTGTTTATATATACCAAATAATTATACACAGAACACACACATATTATGTAAACAAACTTTTGGGGGATGCGATTAATCGTTGGCCAGCACTAAAAAAAAATACTTTTAACGTAAAAAAATACAAAATATGAATATTTGAAAATACATGTTTTACTTGAAAATATTAAGATGCTTACAGGCTACACATTTATTGTAGGTGTTAAGAATTATGGTCACACTTTATATTAGATGTCTGACTAAGATGTCCATAGACAAAAATAATAATGGTTAGGTTCAGTGTATTGCGTGTGTTGATGTTGTATTGTAAAGCACTTGAGCTGATATTGAGGTGATACAGGAGAGGTCAGCACAGGTTTGGTGTGTGTGTGTGTGTGTGTGTGTCGGTTTAAGGGTTAACAGGGAAGAGACGGACAACAGTGTCATTATAGATTAAATTAATTACAGAATTGCATGTATGTATTGTTTAAATATAAGTACAATGTAAAACATGTATGTACACAATAAGTGCATTGTGTCAAATGATGAATTTAAATGTTACTAAGTAGTAGTTAGACACTTAATATAAAGTCGGACCAGAATTATGTTACTACTTTTTATTTTTGAATAAAATAAATCAATAACTTAACTTTTTTTTAGAAACCAACATGAACACAAAGACAACGTTTCTAAGAACTGTACTTATTTACTAAACTAGATTATAAATAATTTTGATTTTTCATTATCTTGGACATCCTTATTTATCATTGACTTATGTATATATTATATTGATAATTTTGTAGTAACAATAAACTAAACCGGTTAGCTGGAACACACTGTGTTCAATGGCACGCACGCACGCACGCACGCACGCACGCACGCACGCACGCACGCGCACACACACACACACAAAACATAAAAAAAAAAACATGATTTATAAGCTGTTTTCCTCATAGGAACCAAAAAAATGTCCCCACAAGGTATTACTTGTATTCCTATCCTTGTAATAAAACACACCAGTTACACACACGGCATATCGTCCTCTTCTTTATGGGATCTTGCTGTACACCCTGTTACACACATACACAAGTGTGTTTGGGCACGGACACTGGTCTGGTGTCATCAGCAGTGCTGTAGTTCTGCTTATGTGACACACACAGGTAGTGTGTGAGGATCTTTCCTCATGTAACACACACTGTGGAAAGGGCAGCGTGTCTGTAGGGCAGGTCACACATCTGACAGCAAACCAGATCATACCTTCACCATATTTCATTCTTCTTCATCTGACTTTTAAGGATGTCTTGCTCGAAATAAAACACCTTGTTCATTTTTTTTTTACACACAACATAGCTTAACCTGCTCTGGCTTTTTGTGTTAGAACCCATCAGTAACTTACAACAAACAGCAAGACTGAGAACGACAGAGAGAAAGACAGTAAAGCATGAGTGTGAGGATGACAGGGCGTCCCATGAGGCCGTGCGATGGGTGACCGGGGCTCTGCGGCGTGTGTGTGTGTGGTTCTCCGGGATGAGTTTGTCAGTGTCCGGGGTCACACAAAGCCTGACCTCTTACTTCTGTCTCCACTGGAAAAAAGACACACACATCATCCAACTGCTGAGTACCGCAAAAAACGACAAACTTCTCTCTGTCACGTTCACACTGCCTTCAAATAGTTCTCTCCTTTGAGAAAAAAAAAAGTAATTAACAGAAATGATCTGACTTTTGTTAATATGATGTACTTATGAGGGACGATGTACAGTAAGCTAACAAATTTAATCACCATGAAGGGGTTTATTATCAATAATAATCTTCTGACTGTACATTAACTCACTTTATTACACAATACTTATGTACCATTCTGGGTAACAGTTTGTTATAAGATTCATAGTTAACATAATAAACTAAGAATGAACAATACTTCCACCGCATTTATGAATCATAGTTAATATTAACATTTACTAATACGTTATTAAAATCAAAGGTTGTATTTGTTAGCATTAGTTAATGCACTGTGAACTAACATGAACAGCTGGATTTTTATTAAATAACATTAACAAAGATTAATACTGTAACAAATGTATTGATCATTGTTAGTTCATGTTCGTTAATACGTTAACTAATGCACCTCATTGTAAAGTGTTACCATAAAAAGCTTCAATTGAAATGATAATCTGTGTTTTTTTCATCGTGTCATTATTTTGCCGCAGGGCTGCTCTACTTTTTCTCCGATACCGCTGAGGAAAAATCCTGACCTATGATGAGGCCGGCACACACTTACCTACGAAAAACTTTAAGAGAAAATATCAATCAGGAGGAAAGAATTACATTGACCTAAGCAGAGGGAGAGAGTGAAATGAAGCAGGATTTCAGCGATGGGCCGCTACATAACCTTCAGGAGGACTCTATTTTTCATTAGAGAGGTGTCAGACGCTCAGCTTTAATACGCTCATCCCGGCTGTGAGGAGAGACCTGCCCCAGTCTCAGCACATAATGAACAGCCCAGTCACACTCAAATCAACACAACACATCACAGCTCAACAGATAACTGCACTTCAGAGCGTTTCCGACACATTTATCTCATGTTGAATGTCCAATGAGCTATATTTAACGTGCCATTTTCACAAGACCCTCACTAATCACTTCCAAAATAAAGCCATGATAAAGTAATGTAAATAGTAATCAATGCAGGACACTGATTCATTATTTAAATCGAACTTTTGAATCTATTTAAAGGCACACTATGTAAGCTAGAGGTCACTTATTCAAAACAATAATAAAGGCGTAGCTTGTATGAGTGTGGGATCATGGGAGTTGTTGTCTTCACCTCCACAGCCGAT